CTCCTAATCAAATCCCTATTTCGATGGTCCAGTCATATCCACACTTAATACATTGGAATCCATCCTTGGTACACTTAACATACATCAATGACACACATAGTACATCCATGCCTGAGTAAGCTAACACTTCCTCTCTCTCCGGCTAACTCTACAAAAATAAAAATAACAAAATAGTTCAATAGTCCAGCATAGTCCAGAAAAATATTATAAGTCTTTCAAGGAGTATAAAGAATCTTAGACACCATAAACTTTGTTCCACAATCTTAGACACCATAACATAGCTAAGGGTAGCAATATGGCTGACAACAAGACAATGTCAGCTTCCACATAGTTCTTAATTCTTCTGTTTGCTGGATGTTCACCACAATACTCTGTGCAACACCCCAATTGTTGAAAGGGTAATACAGAAATAGCAGCATTAGACAGCACTGCATCTTCAGGACTTTCCAAGTTAGTTTATGTCCTCATAAGTAAGCATCTCAGTTTCTTCGGCCAGCATGGATTTTGACCAAACAGATTTAATTGCAAAAAAAGGTAGGTCAGCCAGAGAGATTGGTGTGTAGTCCCAAATATCAGGCAGCACAAATACTCCAGTACGGTCTCTATAATCATACAAACACAAGGATCAGTACGGCATCAATAAATTAATTATCTAGGCTAAACTCAAATTAGAGACTAAAGTTAAACTCTTAACTAGTGTAACATGTACGTCTCTCAGTTTTGTTTATGTCCTTTATAAAATTTTAATACATAATTTCCCTTTAAAATGCCTTGTATGGATGAGATAAGCACTCATTCTATATAAATGCTTGTTGAGTACTAAAACACTAACATATACATATTGGTATAATTCCCAATAAAATGCTGTTCTTAAACTTAAACCTTGATTTGATAATCTCAATTAATTACTTTAATAAAATTTTGTGGACCCTGATAACATCTTTGGAAACCCAAACCTTTTATAGATCCCGATGTGTGTGATCATGTTTTAATACATGTTGGAACCTCCATACAGTTATCCCACTTAAACAATATATTTTTTTTTCAGAACAACTAGGAATGAAATAGGAGAAACAAAATAAATTACTATTGTTCTAAAGTGCTTTGTTTAATACAGGTTTAGGAAGAGTTGTCTTGCTGTGTTGCAAGTGGCCTCTGATAAGGAAGGGACAGCAAACTGTAGACATATGTTATATTAAGTTGCTCTCACTTGTCAGGTCTTGGAAACCCACTTAATTTATTGCAGATGCCTCTATTATACCACTTTACAAATTGACTAAGCATACTTATTATCCTATTTTATTTTAGTTATTTCACATTGCACAGCCTATGTAAACAATGTCTAGGTCCCAACTTCAACTTGTACATCCTCTAAGAGCCAGCATTAATACTGTTTTATCTATCAAAACTATATATAAAGTATTAAAAACATGAACCATCTGTGTATTAGGCTGAGGTTGTTGGGTGTGGGTATAGCTTGAAAGTTGTGGTTGGTAGTGAGGAACCTGCCAGGGTGGGAGTCCTTGAATGCCAGCTGGGCCAGGAGAACACAAGCACCTTGGGGTGAATCCCTGCTACCCACAATTAAAACAGTGCTGAAGTTACCATCTCTACAAAAGTTAAATCCTTTGATCAAATTCTCTACCTCTGCCTCTAAAACTTTTCTGATTCAATCTATCACCTCCAAACTTTCTTTGTCTCGCCTGCTTAAGATCACAATCCTTTTGTGACCGATACAACATACTTTTCCCTTTTTCTTTATATCCAAAACAACCTGCTGTATCTTTCTCATGAATCTTCCCAAGAAATTCAGTTGGGGTCAAAGAGGGCCAGTCACAGACCAACAGTTTGACCAAAAGTGAACAAGGAGGAAGCATATTCCATATGAAGGTCGAGATGACTTAACTCACACCCCCTCTTTGTGTACACCTATTTGTGTACCACACAGATATAATATTAATAGGCTTTTGAAGATTTATTGTGTTTGTATAGCACGGTTGTCTAGGGGTGTATACATAAACAGTGAAAGCAGAGTCTTCATATAAGGTTTGCAATACTGACAGTCTGGGTCATAGGTGTAATACAGACATGCGGTTAGGAACTTTTCCATTGTCAGAACACTAATATATTGCAAATATTAAAATCATATTGCATATTGCTGTTTCCTATACCTGCAAGGATATGGTTGTAATACTTCAATTGAGTTCAAATTGAGTATCAAAAATTCTAACCACAAAAACTAAATTTTATATGCTTATCAAAAATGAGTTTAACCCCTTAGTAATTTAATAGGGTGACCTCTTCCCATAGTATGGTTCCTTTTATTATTATTATATTATTTATTCTCTTCTGGGTCTGCAAAATGCTTTCAATATACCAATACAAATATAATACAGTAGTCTAGAATTGCCTCAAAAGAAATTATCTGATCTCTATTAAAAATACCATTTCATCATTTTCCTATAATCAATGAGGCATACTAGATGAATCTTAATCTTGGAAAAAACCTATCCTATACATCCATAATTTTTCTTGTTATATAACCATATAACAACACATTTTTCTTTTCTTAAATAATGCAATGCACTTTAAAAGTAGCGTTAACTCTAAATACTCCCCTAATAATACTGAAACGTGGATCCACGATTTTGAAAAGCAAATTATATAATTTTTCTTTTTCTTTCCCAGGGGCCCCTTTCTTGTTGGCTGATCAGCGTTTTTTTAATCTGTTGTAAAAAGACACTAAAGGCTTGCGTTAATGACATGCAAATATTCTTTAAATATTCTTCATACTCATTGTAATATCACACATCATCTTATAGCACAGAAAACATGTAGCAGATATCCAGCAGACATGCCAATACAAAAAGCATATTCATGGACAGGCAATTAACTCAATCCAAAATAAATTAATAAATGTCACACTATGTGACGGACATAATTTGGTTCTCATATTTGTGCATTATGCATGTCTGCAAACAATGCAAGCAGTACTGCTTTAAGATTAGATCAGAGCACCTGGCAACTGGACAGGAAAGTCAAATTTTGGCAGGAAGTCCATTATTGCAACAGAATTTTGGAAATCAGCTCAAATTTACAAAAACAGACTCCCTCTTTTTTTCTTTCTTAAGACTACAACTCATATTGCTCTTGGACAAGTATTCAATAATAAATCAGTTATTTAATAGATTATTACGCTGCCATTTTCATCTGTATCAATACTAAGACAAACTTATTCAAATATAATTTAAAATAACACAGCAAAATACCCATTAACATACATGACAATTAAACTGCGCACTTCAAAATGAGTAACCAAAACAAACATTTATGACAATCATCATTCACACAGAATAAACTTCTAACAGCTGTATTCAGAACATATTATTGTAAGGTATACCAATTTTAGTTTGTATTGGATTTATTTAAGCGTTCTGGTACCAAAGGGTTTATTTTTTCTTTTTAAAGAAGGGATCCCGTATGGCTATATAACACGTTTGACTTAAACATTTGTATAACACTTGCATTAACCAGTTGCAACATATGAAACCTGTCAATGGAATTTCTCTCTTATACGCTTATAGAACATTTGGACCAGATTACACAGACATGGTATCACCTGCATTTGTCAGAACTCTCAAAGACTCAAAATATTTATACTACTCCATGTTAAAGGCATGGCAAAACTTTGACCGGTCAATTTGAGTTTCCAAAAGTCATATCAACACAGGTAAAAACCTTTGTCCATGGTTTTCTGATCCTACATTCCATGACCAAAATTTCAAACCCACTTCTTCACAGTTTGGGTCGCAAGCAATAAAATCTCAGCATTCCCATACAACAATTTACAGAATACATACAATTTAAAGCACATACAACATGTGACGTACTGGAATACTACAAGTTAGCTTACAGCACAATATGAAGCATGTGTTGGAACGCTGAAAATATACATTTTGCTCTCTAATTTATAATCATCTAAATTTACAACATAAGTTCTCTGCAACAAACACTCAGGGCAGAAAGAATGTGGTGTTTGACGTTTTGAATGAAGTGACTTTTTGTCCCAATATGAAAATAAAGGGCTCATCATATAAACAATCATACATCCCACTCTCATGAAAAAGTGTAGTGGGCTTATAGTACTTTTGACCAAGTATAAAAATAAGGGGCTCATTATGCAAACAAACATACATGCAGAGAAATCATGTTAGTTCTAGAATTTGTAACCCCCCTTAAATAACCTCTAATTTTTTCTTATTCATCATCACCTTTACATGTACTTTTGACATTCCCTCAATTAAGACTTTATGCTTAAAATCAGCGTTGCACATCATAAAATAGCACATAAATTAGCAAGCCGGAGTAATGCCAAACATCCATCATACCTTTTAACCCCCTTTTTTTTCTTCTCTTAATAACCATTTTAGTCTGCAAAATTGACATCTACGTTAAATAAATACCACAGTCCACCAAAGACTGGAAATCTGTTTTACAACCTACCAAAGGCAACCTCTACCAAAGAGGAATCTAGGGACGTCTCCCATATGTAAGTGTACATCACAGGTACATCACAGCCTACCAAAGGCTTGAAATTCTTTTTAACACCTGGCCAAAGGTGATCCTCTTACCAAAGAGGAAATGTGCACAATAACTACTACTACCTACCAAAGGCAATCCTCCAACCCGTGGAGTAATAGAAGTCTACCTAAGACTTAACAAATACCATGTCTACCAAAGACATTATCCTGTGAAAATCCCCTTTAAAAATGTAAATAGTGAAAAACCCCATTAAAACAAGAAATGCAATGTGTGGGAGGATGGCAGAAGCAGGCAAAGGTCCCCAACCCCTTAAGGACACACGACAGAAATACTCCGTCATGATACCCTTAAATTCCAGAAGTTGTGTCCCCAAGGGGCTAAAGACCCTCTTACCTGCTACTCCGTTCCCAATTGCTCCCAAAAACTTCTGACACCAGTTTGTTGGGGATAAAATCAGCCTGGCCCTTTGTGGATGATGGATATTTGCCAACTCATACAGAGCTCTGGAAATTGGAAATGAATAGCAGAGACGTGTTCAATAACCAATTCAAATTGTATTCATACGTCAGTTATATTTATAACCCATTTTCATAGCAGGATGGGAGGGGGAAAAATGACCATATGGGCGTGACAATGACATTGTTTTTCACAAGTTATAAACAGCTGTTTTTAGTTATAATTCGATGTTACATAATGTATGCATATTGGATAAAACCCAGATGATTACAAATACAGAAATCTTGGACAATTAACAAGGTCATTCCAGAATCCTTATCATGTCATGTCATGTCATGTCGTGTCATGCCATGTCATGTCATGTCATGTCATGTCATGTCATGCAAATATCTTTTTTCCAGGAACATAACAAAATCATGTTTCAATAACATTTCTGAGAATTGGAGATACAATTCCAAATTTATTCTTGATTCAAATTAACCCTTACATGAACAGTTAGGATATAGAGCAAAATGGATATTCGCATCTACATTGGGCAAGTAGAACTTGAGATTGTTGAAGTACAGCCTGTCTTTAAGAGTTGCCCCTTTCTGTTTCCAGTTAGTGGTTTGTTTGTTTTTTCTTTCTTTCCAGGGTCAGTAGCTTGCTTGTTATTCCTTCAGGAGCTTGATGTCTGTGGGTAGGATCTTACATGGTGAATATGGGAGTTTCTTCAGCAGACACTTTTCTGTCCACTTCCCTTAGTGCACTTACAACTTATTGAACAACTTAGTCAGCCAGAGAGTTGCCACATGCTTTCTCTGAGTTCAGTCTTCCTTCAGAGATCTTGCATGCTGTGATGGGAGCCTATAGCTCAGCTTCTTGTGCAGACATTGTTGAGGTGAGATACTTGGTCCACTGTAGTGACAGCAAATCCGGAACAGATCATAAGAAAAAGGCTAAAAAAAAATAATAGTCAGTGTCTTATCATTTCCCCCCCTGGGAAGTGGCAGAAGAGTGGTCAGGTAAATAGAGCATCATCCCTGCAGGGTGACATTATCCTGCACAGAATTCGTCCATCACAAGGAGAGGTGGGATATTGCATGGAAAGTCTCAGGTAACCAGGGCACCATTCGACACCAGAGCCTTAACCTGTTAGGGAATAGTAAGAGCTTGGACAGGCTTTGGGGCCTGTATAATTCAGGTAAAGGTATTGGGGGAATTAGCTAGGACCCTTGCCTCTTGGTCAGGTTTCACTGTGTGGAACAAAAAAAATAATAAGGTGATAGGGGCCTGCAAGTGGGGGAAGGACATCTGCACCTAGCAGATTAATTGGACAGGTGAAGATAACCACAAAGCAAGGCTTAGTTAACAGGCTACTCCAAGGAGAGCCATCTACACTTATGCAGGAGACAACAATGTTAGACAGGAATGAGGAGTCAGGCAGGCCTTGCTTGGTACAAATAGATGTCATGTGGCCTGCTATACAAGGCTGCATATAGTTGTTGGGCATGGGCCTTACTATGTACTAAAACTTAAGTTAAAAGAAAATTTGGGACAACCTGAAGTGATACTTCTCCACAGATGCGAACTCATCGTTGATGACATTGTTAATACAGGTAGCCTGATCAGCCAATTTATCTTAGGCTTAAACAAGTCACACCATGTAGTGGAATGGGTCATTAGGATTCGGGAAATTCTACAGTAAAAGGGCATAGTAAGGATGTACGCGATGTTACTTTAGGAGTAGGCGTGGCTGTGGATAGGGGGATTTCCGCCTTATCCATTCCCATATATTATTCCTTTTGTCTTCAGTATATCCAAAACATGTGTATGTCCAGGCGTTGCAATATACAGTAATCCATTATCAGTCATGATATTAAAATCCCATTCTCATGAATTAAATCAAAGATTTTAAATCAACCTCAGAAGCAACAAAGAATAAATCTATTGTTTTTTCTTCTGTAAAATGATTGGAGTTACTGTATAATTGCATACACCCAATATATCATAGATTGCATGTCTCCTAACTGCTACATTAGTGTATTTCATTCTGCCATATTTGCAAACTTGATGTAAATTTTTATTTTAATTAATTAACCTAATACTTTCTTATAACACACATAAAAACAATGAAAGACAGTACAGACTAACAATTCATTTAAAACAATAAACTAACATAGATCTCTATTCTTGTGCTGTTCTTAATTCTGGAATCAGCCTGTGTACATCTGTTGGCACACATATCCATGCTCATTCCCTAAACTGATCATATCTCTTGAAGTTATCTGATTCTTATAACTTTCTGTGTTACACTGCATTGCTTGTCTGTCTCCTAATTTTGATTTAGCTAAAATTGTTCTTATTTGTCTGATTATCAGTTTACAAGGAAAGGCTTTAATTGATTTATCTCCACATGTATTTTCTCTGTCCTAGAAGGAGGAGGAGGGGGATGAGGGCTGTAAAATCTGCACTTCTTTCTCTGCCTAAATCCACAAGTCGTTTTAACCCCTTCATTATTGGTTTATCTCCTTAAGTTATCCAAGTACAAAGCTACTTCTGTCAAAGTGCTTTTTTTTTTTCTCTTGCTAACACAATTGCAGTTGGATCTACATCTTGAAATTTTTTCACAAATTCATTAATTAACTGATCTTCAGAAAAATCAGCAACAAGTCTATATGCACTTTCAAATTTTACAAGAAAACTAAATATATCCTCCCCTTTGTGTGGTTTTAGTTTTTCCAACATTTCAGTGTCTGCATTTTTCTTGTATTAACACACACGTGCTTAACTTCATTTGTAAGCTGGCAAAAAA